ATATCTGTGTATTATATCAAAGGATGTGAAGGGGAGTGGTGGTTAATGAGGATGTATTGGATAGTGTGGGATATGATCATGGAGTAAATGGTATGAAATAAGGTGTGGAGAATGCTGGTTTTGGCTGGGATAGAGTTAATTTTCTTCACAGTAGCTAGTATGGGGCTATGTTTTGGATTTGTCATGAAAACAGTGTTGATAACACAGGGATGTTTTCATTACTGCTGAGCAGTGCTTACACAGAGTCAAGGCCTTTTCTGCTTCTCACACCACCCCACCAGCAAGTAGGCTGGGGGTGCACAAGAAGCTGGGAGGGGACACAGCCGCGACAGCTGACCCCGACCGACCAAAGGGATATTCCATACTGTATATGGTCATGCTCAGCATATAAAGCTGGGGAAGAAGAAGGAAAGGGGGACGTTCAGAGTGATGGCATTTGTCTTCCCAAGTCACCGTTACACATGATGGAGCCCTGCTTTCCTGGAGATGGCTGAACACCTGCCTGCCGATGGGAAATAGGGAATGAATTCCTTGTTTTGCTTTGCTTGCGTGCGCGGCTTTTGCTTTACCTATTAAACTGCCTTTATCTCAACCCACGAGTTTTCTTACTTTTACTCTTCTGATTCTCTCCCCCATCCCACCGGGGGTGGGGGAGAGTGAGCAAGCAGCTGTGTGGTGCTTAGTTGCTGGCTGGGGGGAAACCACAACACTGCCCCAGGCAATCATAGATTACATTAAAGCATTTGTAAATTCAAACTACACAAAGAGACAGTGTTGAAAAAAGTATTACAGAATTTCTCCCTTGATAACTGCCCACACCTTCTACTGTACTACTGACAGCAATTTGTATCACTTCACTTCTAAAAAGTCTTTGTGTTTTTTCTTCAGTGTTCTATCCTACATATAAAACATCCTTCCCAAAACTTTTCACTAAACCCAAACCTGTCTGCTCACTTAGAAGACCCTTAAAATTTTTCTTCTTTTATGTGGAAAGTGTTTGAATTCACTCCTTTTAGCAAGTACAACAGAATTTTAAAAGTATACACATTCCATATGGGAGCAAGACTCTGACTCTATTAACACTTGTGCCATTTCTCCTGTATTTAATGCTGTATATTTCCAGATCTTAAATTCCTCATGTGAATTTTGTATTTTTTCAGGAGACTAGAGCAAAATGGACTGGTGTAGTTCTTTGGTAAAATAATTTTCATTTTTTCTGTTCCTACCTTCCTACAAATTTATTATTCTAGTTTGGGACACTCAGAACAAGCATGTGATGATAATGATAATGTTTAAAAATCTCTGCACACATAAGAAAAACATGATAATTCTCTTTGTAACAACCATTTTAACATATCTGATAAAGATAAGGAGCTGACCTGAGGCACCAGTATAAGGACACCCATTTTGTGTCTTAATGTAGAAGAGGCCATGGTAAATATTTCTCATAAACTCAGAAGTGATAATTGTGCAATGCAGGAAGAGGTTTAGGCATCAGATATAAAATACAAATATAGGCATGTACAGTGGGACATCAGACACCGGAGTTCAAAATTGTAGTTGTAAAAATCCCGGTTCAGCTGCTGCATAACCCTAGATATGCCTGCATTTCATAGCATTAGGATGTCGCTATCTCTGGTGTCTCACCTCTTCCACTGCCAGTGCTAAGGAAAGCACCTGGTTTCCCAGTGATCATTGAACAGACACAAAGGAAGAAAAGGAAAGAAAATGCCCAAACCTCTCTCAATGGAGTGAAAGAGATGTAGATACTTTCCCATCCAGAGTACTATTCACCCTGAAGTACCTTTTCAAGGTAGAGAGATTCCTGTTCTTCTTGGTAATGTCACCTTCAAATCATTTCTGAAGTTACAATGCCTTTTTGTCATGAGAAAGGAGGCAGGGTCCCTATGTTTTTTCCTCTACTATACAGCAGTTAGGACATTTAACTGAAAGGTGGAAGGCTTGGCCAGATTCTCTTCTGGCCAGAGTGAGTAACATATCCTCCAGACCACTATGCTCCAGCATGGTGGGTGAATAAAAACAGGGACAAGAAGTGGTCTGACAACAGTCAAAGCAAAGAAACAAGGCAGTAGATCAGATACACATCATGACATGATGATCAGCAAGAGCAAACTGTGTGCTTGCTTCATCAATTAGCTGGTAGGAATGAGCTGCCAATCAGTATAAACCATACCTTTCTCTTCAGTTGACTTTGGTGTGATTGGTCCTTAAAGGTATAGTTAGGCTGCTGGCTGCAGAACTTTAATGTTTAGGGGCTAGCACTTCTGACCGGTCAATACATAAACAAAACACCATAGATTCAGGGGGGAGAGGGGGGAAGACTGTAAAATGAGTGTACTGAGTTCCCTGATGAATAGGATGCTCTGCTTAGGTAACACTAGCTATTCCGTTACAAGTCCATAAGTGGAGTTGAACCAAGGTCTGAATCCTTTTGTTAGGAAAAATCAAGCATATAGTAGCCAAGCGATGAATGTATTTTCTGCAAACCTAGGACCCACAGTGAGAATTCTTGCCAAACAGTTGCAGGAGTGAGGGAAGAGGAAGAATGTTACCTGCATGATGGCCAGACATGGAAATCAGATCAGGCTCGTCAAACAGGTTTAAGAGACTTTAGGCATTTGTGTACAAAATTTAGTTCATTGTGTATTTTCTGAAAATGTCTTATATTTCTTGCACTTTCTGATACTGAAATGATCTTTCTCTCCCCTCAGACAGGGGTATGGGGGATAAGGGTATGGGGCCTAATCCTAGCATGAGAGAGAATACACACACTTGAAGGTCTTCTCCATCTTTACATACATAAATTCAGAGGGTTCTGTGAAAACTGGATTACAACACATTGTTAAAAATGCATCTGAGCCCTTTAAATGAAAATCCTTTCTCTGAATTGAAAAGACCATAACTGAATCTTTATCCAATTTGCATGCTTAGAGAAAGCAGCTGAGCTATTCATCATCAAAAAAATGTAAAATAACATCAATATTAAATGACTTACTATGATACTTCTTCCTCTGAGATAAATAGGTGAGCATGTGCTGATAACAGCTAGTTGGGCTTGGCATTGCCCTGCAGATCTAAGGCTTTCAGGAGCCCATGAAAAGCTGAGTAAAAATTGTGAGTTCTTGAGTTACTATGTCCACATTATTTTCTCTCCTTTTTCTAACAATTGCTATAATTGAATAATAGGAAATGGAACTATCTTGGCTGTCAGTTCAACTGACTGCATCAGGAGCAAAATATTGTCCTCGTATGATACGATTATGATCTCTCTGAGTTTATGCAGATTCTTTTTGCAGTCCTGGATGATGCTGGATTTGCTCCTAAGTCTGTTTTGCGAAACCACCTATAATGAAGAAAACTTGTAATTTTCAAGACAGTTTTTATGTTTCTGAACTATTCCAGCCTCTGGTTTGCTGCCTGGCTTAGTGTCTTCTATTGTACCAAGGTTGCTATTTTTACTCAGTCTTTCTTCATCTGGCTGAAGCAAAGAATTCCCAGTCTCGTGCTCTGGATGCTGATAACATCATCTCTTTTCTCCTTCGCAACCTCTCTTCCTTTTGCCTGGGATATCTACAATGTGCATGACAATTTCACTGCTCCTTTAACCATGACAAACTCTTCAGAAAGGAGAGTCACAATGAAAGCTAGTTTGTTTTTATTGATTCTTCTCTGTAACAATGGCATAGCTTTGCCTTTAATAGTCTTTGTTGTTTCAAGTATCCTGCTGATTAGGTCTCTGTGGATACACGCCAGACAAATGCAACATAATGCAACTGGCTTCAGGGATCCCAGCCTGGAGGCCCATATTGGTGCCATCAAGTCAGTCTTTTCCTCCCTTATCCTCTATGTTACATATTTTGTTTCTTTGGTTGTCATTTTATCCAACATTTTTTTACCTTTAAGCTAGCCTGGGCTTTCTAGTTTAGATCCAATTTAATTAAATTGAAATCACCAGCGGTATAAAATAATAGAAGCATGAATGGGTAGACTATGGCCCTGATCTGGAATCATGAAGAAGCTGGGAATTTGCTTTACTTGGATGTGATCCTTGTAATGAATAATTCTCTCCTGTTTTAAAAGATGATTGCCTACAGAATATAAGTCCTGTACTTGCTGTACTTTCTTCGGAAATCACCACTGCTTCTCTAAGACAGCAGAAAAACAAGGCCAAGACTCAGACAATAATGTAATCACTTGAAATGGTTTAAGTTACAAATCAGACTTTCATGATACTAACAGAACAGACCTGCTTAAGCACAGGCATGCTCGAATTTTGTATGTGAATATGAAGCTTGAAGGCTGTTTCTGGTTAGTACAAGTGCATAATGAGGTTGCTAAGGAATTCCCAAGAATTTGGGAATTTCTTACCTATCAGTTTTGACTGCTTGTTGATTCTATAAGTACAAAAATATTTGTTGATTCTAAAAGCATCTTTAAGATTCCAGTATGTTTCAGTAAAGAATGACACAGCCTTTTGAGCTTCCTGCTATTGCTGAACTAGTAATCAGTGTCTGTGTTCCCAACAAAAAGGTACATTGGAAAACTCTCCAAAATCCTGTGATTAGAGCTAATAGGAAAAAGAATTTCCTTATATCAGACCTTTCTGAAGAATGAATTGAAAGGTTAATATTTCGGGGTTTGTTATGGAGAATAGATTCCTCAAATCAGAAGCACATATTTGTGTCATTTAAACGTGGCCAAATGTCATTAAATTACTAAAACATTAAAATTAATTAATTCGTATTATTGAGAAAATAGTTCACCAATGTTTAAATATATGGCTTGAAATTCTCTTTAGGAGTTTCTAGAAATTGCACATCTCCATGAAGTGTCTCAATTTTGATAAACTGTGCCCTGTAATTTTTTTCTACACAGGAATTCCTTCAGCTTTCGAAATAAATTACAATCTCCTGGACAAATCATATATTTTGGCAGAGTCCAAAACTCAGAACATTATTGTTACATTAGGACTGGAACTTTATGATCCTTTTCAATTGGAGTGGGAGTTTACACTCTTTTAAAGTGATCATCACTGAAATATATATGGTTTGAGCCTTATGTTGACTAAGCCCATTCTGATTTAAAATATCCGGTTTTGATGTTGTCACAGTCAATCTGTTTGAAGCAATGTATCTCTATTTAAACTGAGTTTAATAGAGAATTGGGTTTTTCAAAAGATTTTAAAATACCAAGTTAAAGAATTATTTCTGTTGGAGTCTTTCTTCCTCTTATGACATAAATTGTTCCACAGGTGACAGCAGTGGCTTGCAGAAAAATTTTGTATGGCATTTAATAGAGCTGGTGAAAATTCAGGGCATGGCAATGACACCATGATGTGGCATTTTCACCATCTGTGAAAAATGGTGGTTCCCAGCTTAGCACCATGAAACACACATGTTGGGAGGTTTGGTCTGTCCTCTGCCTCCCCATGGTGTCCCCTCACTGGCCTTAGGGAAAAAAACTCAGATATCTCTGACCACAGGAACAAGCAAGACACATGGGGTATGGTCAACCCATAAAACATGTATTTTGTCCTGATCCAGGCTGAGCTGAAAGGTACATGGCTGCTTAGCAGGGGTACCCTGAACAGCCCCTATCACATAATTCGGTTTACATTGCATTCTTTCTTTTCCATTTCCCCCCCATGAATAAACAACTTGACCACGTTCCTCAGTGGACATGAGATTTGAAAGAGGTTCCTGTGCTATTTTTCAGACTCTTTAAGTGGGTCTTCCTTCCAAAGCTTTCTTTACATAGAGTTAGATGAAAAAGTTACCTGTGCATGAACATGCATTTTGGAACCTAAGAAGGAAAGTAGACAGAAATGCTAGAAGGCACCTTATAGGGTCAATTTTCTGGTAGACCTTTCTTTCTGTAACCAACCAGCTAACTAACTTGCCATATTAAAAATATCTTTAAAATGTTTTTATAAACAGTTTACTAAATCCTTGTTGTTCTATTTGATAAATTATTAAATAAGATTGATAAACATTTGTTCTGGGGAAAAAAACCCCATGTACTATTAGGAAAATAATAGTTACTAGGGTCATGATTCTTTGATGTCATGCATCTTATCTGATAGTAGGCATTTTTCTCTTTTCTCTGTTTTGTTTGTAAGCCAGAAGTTGGTTTGATTCCTCCATCTTAAACTTACCAGTTTGCAACCTGAAGAAAGTCTGAAATTCCTCTTATCAGACCCTTCTAAAACGTTCCAACTATTTCCACACACACCAATGCTACTTAGAGGCACTGGCAGCTCTATTTAAAATCTGGTATGGTAAATCAAATCAGGAAACAAGCAAAGTTCAAAGCTCATCCTGTTCTAACACTAGCAGAATGAGATGATACAAATCATGTTGTCTTGTAGCTCTTTTCACTGAGGATCCAGAAAAAAAAATACAAGATTTTCTAGGAAACTTCTCAAAGGTAGCACAAAACAAAGATGCCAGCATTTGAAACAAAGCTCTTTTCCACTAAAAAGACCTTTCTGGGTTTCTGTAATTTACTAGTTTAATCAGAAGCCTTTCTTTTTGCCTGAGGAGCAAATTCCTCATAAACTACTATGTGATGTAATTTCTGTTCCCTGAAGGAGAAGTATGATAAAATTGCAATATATTTTAACAAGGTATATGGCCTTTACAATTCTTTGTAATGGACAGACAGAAAATTATTTCTGTTACACTGCATGGGACTGTGGACTATTGGACACTGATGAAGCCATACACGGAAAAGGCCCTGAACAAAATGGTTAAGAAAAGGGGTCACAGTCAGAACTTCAGTTTTGTGATAATATCAATATATTGTATTAAAGTAACCTATAGATGACTGGTAAATCATAAAATCCATCATAATGATAAAAAATCATCAATGAGTAATTCAGAGAAAAAAGGACAACAGCCCTCATTCGTTTTCTAAATCACAGTCTGGCCTCTTTTCTAAGTAATGAAACAGTAATTTGATTCTAGTCATTAGCTCAAGGCAAGAAATGCAAAGATGTGTTATGTAATTTACAGATCACTACAGGATCCTTCTCTGATTTGCATACCCATATGCATAGCTGGAATTTTCATAACTGAAATTCTGGAAAACATGCTATGGACTCTATTTTCAATGCCCATCAGAACATGATTTTAAGAAATAGGAAAACCTATCAATAGTACACAGATACAGCTTATTCCTCACACACCTTCCTGAAATGAACACTACATGTACACACCAACATATACATGCACATGTACATATTGGCAACCAGGCATCTTGTATGATGGTTCTTTATACCTCTGCATGTGCATATAAAAATGGAAGGCAGGACTTCAACATTAAACTGGATAGCTACTTAAACCAAAATACATATCTTTTAAAAGGGCATAGTTTCTTCATTACACTTCATTTTCTTTCATCTTCATGTGGCTTAATTTGTGGAGATATGGAAATGCAACTGTTACTCATGCTGAAAACAGTGTATCTGATATGGCAGGTTGCAAGTGTCTTACACAAGCCCAATTTTGCTGTTTAGGCCAATTCACAGAGCTCTCTTTGCATACACCTTCTTACTTTTTACTTAAGCAGTGAAACCTCTTAGAACAGTTGTTGCAACTGTTGCATGAGGGGGAGTTAAAATGATGATACCTATGCTTAGCATTTGGATTATTTACCTCTATCCTATGAAATGGAATTCTTTTTTTTTTTCTTTTTGACACCTGGAATGCTACACTAAGCTCAGAGATGAAAAATGGGGTTTCTATTATCTTCAAGTTGTTGCAAAGATATATGTTGAATGAATCTAAAATACCACATGGACAGAAATTCCAGTTTATTGTGATAGTATATATATGTTTATGAAAGCTTAGGAGCAGTTAACATCAGTTCCTCCAAAAATGAAGGAAATTTCTGCTAATAGTTGTCATCAAAACACAGTTTGTTGAAACATAATCACAGTAAGGGTATATCTACAAATACATCTTACATTCATATGGATTCCTAGATCACTTATTTTAAAGGGCAGAAAAAGAAACCTGAATAGAAAACCTCATCTTTCCCAGTAAAAATGTTCATTTTAACACATCTCAGCTTCTCTGTGTGTGTGCGTGTGTGCGAAAAGTTGTCCTGAAAGTACATATTTTGCCAAACCCATTTTCTGCAGAAATCACTTTTGCAAGGCTTCTAAATTTAAACTTCTTCACTGATATATAGACACTCAGGTTTGAAAAGCTGAAGTGACAGACATCAGCCTTAATGGTGTAAGAGGATTTAGCTACCAAATTATTTTCCAACATTGTTTGAACAAAGCCTAAGAAGATTCCACTGCATAAGAATAGGGCATGAAGTAACTCACACTCTCTAACGTGGAAGACAAACTTGACACATACTAAGTGCAGGATAGAGAGAGCAAAAGTGTCAGAGAAAAACTGAAGGAAAAAAGTAGACTGTTGTATTACTGGTTATAAGTACGAGACCAGCAATACAAAGGGAATTAATTAATTAATTGGTGGAGCTTTCCTTAATCATCTGTACTGGTTTTTTCTCAGCATCTGAGTATATGTTTCTTCACCATTTATGTTGGAGATCACCACATTTTTCAACTCCTGGACAGGCAGGATCATCAAAGTCTTCACTGTTTGACACGTTCCTTCCAACCAGAGGCAGGAGCGTAAGGACACATTATGGACACATAGCCCATATTATTTCTCAATGGGTTGTGTCTTTTATGGCAAAACTGGGTCGTCTTCTGAAAGAGAAGCGGAGGGGGCAGCATGTTCATACATGTTCCAGTTGCTAGAAGAACAATATAGCCTTAACTCTATCCCTGCCGAAACCAGGACACTCAGGAAGCAAGAAAGTAAGAGAAGGACATTGAATTATAGAAAAATTTCACGAACATATGGATTTTCCCTGCATATTTGAAAA